GACACAATACCCTTATTTTATTAATTTATATGTGGCACTGAGGATCAAACCCAGGGCCTCACACATGCCAGGCGAGCACTTTACGGCTGAGCCACAACCCCAGCCCAAAACCATGCCCCTTTTGTAGAACTGTTTTTAGAATCAACAAATCAAATGCTTCAAAATTAAAATAATTAAATTTTAAAATAAATCAATTTCATTAAGATAGGTGGGGGAGGGGATACTGATGTTTCAGGCATGAAGAATTAGACACAGTTGAAGAATAACAACATACACATTACCCAGTAGGCAGAGCACCAACTAGAGCCATACTTGTGATGGGCAGTGACTTCTCCCAGACTCTTGGCTCCAAAGGGTCACCCTAGCACCTCCCAGGAGGTGACCAAGTCTGGATGTTGCTTGGCTCTGTTTCTGGACTATAGTTGATCATTGTCTTCTGGGCTACCATCACAGAGAATGAGAAACCCCAACCTAACCCATTCTTCCTTTCTTCCTTAGTAACAAAACCCAGGAAAGCAATGAGCCCTCCTTGAGATCTTCCAAAAACAAACCTCCTTCCATTTGGCAAAGAAGAGAGGTGCCTAGGAAAACTCTTAACTCAAGCTATCACTGCCAGACCCGCTAAGGAGATTTCCTGCAGAGACAGGGTAAAGAGAGGAAGGCCCTGTTCCTTCAGATGACACAAAATTAAACTCTACTTCCTCTGTGTGCTGGTTGTAGCCTGTGTGGATATTGAGGCCTCCGTGGGGCCCCAGCAATATCTCCTTCTCTTACCCAGGAGAAGGCTGCTGAAAGCTGAGCCTCTTGATGTCTGAGCCAGAAGCCCACTCACACTGCAGACCCGACCCTCTTCCTTGTCTGGGCCCCAGGCTGGCCAGGTGCAAGTGGAAATTCAAAGGAGCGGGGATAGGTCTTCCCAGAGAAGCCAACCTTGCTGGATGGTGAGCACGTCCAGTCGGGGGAGCCACAAATCTCTGGGCAACAAGGTGATTAGAGTCAGGAAGGGACCCGGCCTGGATGAGGCAAACAAGGTCACTTGGGGCAGGAGAGAGGGTGGAGAGTCAGTGTGAGGCATACAGGTGGGATAAAAGAGCAGAACACCAGCTCCATCAATAAATAACCCAGTACCCAGAGCTTCCAAAGGAGGTGAGATTGGAGCGAGGATGAGCCACTCTGAGCATGGCTGCATGTGGCACTTGAAGCCAAGTGGCAGTTACCCATGGGGTCGAAAGCCTTCAGTCCTGAGGGTGTGTCAGTGGAACGGACACAGGTGCATTAAAATAGGTGGCAATCATAATCCACAGCCCATATGTATTATCATATTAGCATTACATTATTGTTACATTGTTATGTATGACATGTAATATGTATTACACATATAATTATATCACCTATGATGCACTATAAGTTTTTATAGGTGTTCAGCAGCTGGAACACAGTGCACAAAGTGGTTTTTAAGGCAGTGAAGGAGTGGGCGTGTTCATGCCAGGAACCGGGAAGTGCTCATTTGCAATTGAAATCTCTGCCTTGGCATTTTAAAAATCAACTTAACTAGTAACTTAAGTAACTTTTCTATGAACGTGGAAGGGTTTATTGACTTTTCAAGTAAAACCTTGTCTTTAATTACAAAAATAAATCATGCTTGTAAAAATTCAAGTAAAACGTATATAAAATTAAGAATTCCCCTCAGATCTCATCCCTCGATAGAAACGACTAAGCGCTCGATTATGTCCTTTCCAGCATTTTTCTCGGCAAATATAAACACATCAACATGCACTATGGTTGATAGCTTTTTAAATGAAAAATTTACAGAGATAAGTGTAGGTTCACTGCAGTCACTAGATGCCTTGGCCCAGTTTCCCTGGTGATAAAATCTCACAAAATGACTGCAGAGTATCACAGCTGCTGCCACGGGTAGAACCCCCTGCCCTCTGCCAGGTTTTCCTGCTTTACCTGTTCTCGCTTGTGTAGGGCTGGGTGTGTGCCATGGGTATGCCCTGGGCACCACCCCCACCCCCGTTCATGACCCCGAGTCCAGACCCCAGGCCGTCCAGCCCCACAGGCCTCCTTTTGCCCTTGAAGAACCACACACGCCTCTCTCCTTTCCTTTCTGGGTTTGGCTTCCTGACTGAGCTGAGTTCCCTTGAGACTGGCGCGGTCAGGTGTGCCAGTTCTCTCTGTGGCTGAATCTCCTTCCCTGGCTCAATCAAACCTGCTGCAGGACACCTGCGCTGACAGCTATTTGGGGACATTACAAACAGGGTTGCTCTGAATATTTGCCTACAGGCTTATGTGTGAACAAGAGTCTTGTTCCTCAGGGACAGAAGCCCAGGGGTGCAAGATGCCCAGGGTCACATGGCAGTGGCATCTTTGCTTTTTTTCTTAGGAAATAGCCAAGCTTGGGCTGGGGTTGTGGCTCAGTGGTAGAGCGCTCACCTAGCACAAGTGAGGCCCTGGGTTCCATCCTCAGCACCACGTAAAAATAAAGAAATAAATAAAGGTGTGTGTCCATCTACAACTAAAAATATATTTAAAAAGAAAAAAAGAAAGAAATAGCCAAGCTCTTCTCCAGGGTGCTGTACCATTGACATTCCCACCCACAATGTATGTTTGTTTTTGTGGTGCTGGGGATTGAACCCAGGGCCTTGTGCATGTGAGGCGAGCACCCTACCACCTGAGCTACATCACCAGCCCCGCAACCACAACATGCCTGGGATCCAGTTTCCCTGCATCCTTGTGGGCCCAATATTATTTTTATTATAATCACTCTGATAGCTGTGCTGCAGCTTCTCACTGTGCTAGTTCACAGCTCTTTGAAAACAAAGATAGGATCAACAGTTGTGCCTCTAACTTATATTACTTGACTGGTCGAATCACATTCCATCATGTAACTCTTTATTAATTTAGTTATTTTCCTATCACTTATTTAATTTATATTTTGCTACTATAACATATTATTAAGAGTACATGCATACGTTAATTTGCGTATGACTTTGTATATTCTTTATTATGCTTCATAATGTCAGCACACCTATATATACATTAATTAGATAGATCTTTGCTCACTCATATGATGGGATCCGTAGAATTGTCAGGCAAAAAAAATATGCACATTTAAATTCTGATAGATATTTCAAAGTTGGCTTCCAAAAGTTTGTACCAGTACAAACTCCCAGCAAGATTACAATGATCGGCCAGGGTTGTGGCTCAGTGGTAGAGTGCTTACCTAGCATGTATGAGCTACTGGATTCGGTCCCCAGAACCACCAAAAAATAAAAACAAATTAAATAAAGGTATTGTGTCCATCTACAACTAAAAACAAATTTAAAAAAAGATTACAATGATCATTTCCATAGATACCCTACAATAGTAACACAGTACATTTTTTTTTTCAATATTATAAGTGAAAGGTGGTTTCTCATTCCAGTTTGCATTTGTACTAGTGGGGATAAGTATATTTTTTCCTTATTATTAGTCATTTATATTTTGTCTTTCTCTTATTTTATTGTGCCTATTATATCATTTTCTTATTTTTCCTGATTGTTTGGGTTTTTTTATTTTGTGGTGGCTGGGATTGAACCCAGGGCCTTGTGCATGCAAGGCAAGCTCTCTACCAACTGGGCTATATCCCAGCCCCTCTCCTTATCTTTCTACTGCTTTGTCTTCTACTAATGATTTATGCTTGAAGAGATTTCCCCTACACATAATTTTTCTCTTATAATAATTTTACACGTTTTACACTTGCACCTCAATTACTTTGAAACTTATTTTTGATTATGATGCAGGCACAGATGGCAGCAGAGGCTGTTGGGGCTCCACCCAGGTGCTGAGCCCCAGAAGTGCTAAATTCATGTTCTCCCAGGAACAGCCTTTGTCATGGTTTTGATAGGAGCATCCCTCAAATGCTCTTGAGTGAGACAATGCGGGAAGCTTAGAGGTGAAATGATTGGGTTATGAGAGCCTAATCAGTGCATTAACCCCCTGATAGGGATTGACGGGCGGTCACTGTGGGCAGATGCGGTGTGGCAGGAGGAGGGGGGTCATTGGGGGCAGGCTTTGGGGATATATACTTGTTCCTGGTGAGCAGAGCTCTGTTTCCTGGTGCCATTTCCCAGTTGCTTTCCTCCGCCCACTCTCCCACCATGGTGTTCTGCCTCCCCTTCAGCCAGAGCAATGGAGTCGGCTATCTATGGACTGAGACTCTGAAACCGTGAGCTCCAAATACATTTTTCCTCTTCTAACTGTTCTTGTAGGGTCCTTCAGTCACAGCAGCAAAAAATCTGGCTAAAACAGGGTTGAACCACAGACCACACTGTGTGGGTGAAGGGGGTGTGCTCTCTTGATCTCTGCTTGCAGCAAGTTTGGGATTGTTCATCCTGCCCCCACAGCTCCCCCAGGAAGGAGAAGAGTACCTTCCCAGCGGCTCTGCTTGGTCCCCTCCCTTCCCAGTCTCACTCCTCTACTCCCAGATTGGTTGTTCTTGAAGAGGTCACCGTCACACAAATCCTCATCTTGAGATGTTTGTGACGAATCTAACTTAAGATGAAAATCAATTTTATCTTTTCCAGGCAGATGGCTAATTTTCCCACTGTCATTTCTAGAACAGCCCAAACTCCTCCATTGTTGGGAAGGTCACACTTCTTCTGTGCTGGCAGCTGGAGCTTCTGGCCTTCTTTACCCCAGGCTCCCAGTGCCCTGCAGAACTACGGGGGGCAGTGGGTGGCAGCCCCATCAGAGTTCTCCCGTGGGGGCTCCAAGTGTCAGGAATTTCCCAACACACCCCCACGGTGTGTCCTAAAGCAACCAGGACCACCTGAGCTGAAAGGGCTTATTCTACCATAAGTGAATGGGTTAGTTCATTGTCCTTTTCTGCTTCTCTAACTAGAACGTGACTTCCATAAGGGGTCTTGTCTGTTTCCCAGCCCCTGAAACTTTGTCTGACACACCATGAGAGCCTAATAAATCGCTGCTGAATGAACAAATGTTCCACATTTCCATATATGTGTGAATCTGTGGCCTGTCCCATTTACTTATTTGACAGTTGGTGGGAGAGGGCTATATCATTTTAGTTACTGTGGCATTTATTACCTCTGGAAATCTGAAAGAGCAAGTTTTTCGGCTCTTCTTCTATATTTACTTCACTACATATGAACCTGAAATTTAATTTATAAAAATCTCTACAAAATGACATTGAGGTTTTAATTGAAACTGCAATGCATTTATAGATTAATTTAAGGAGAATCGCCATTTTACAACGCTGTCTTTCCATGGAGGATCAGAGATCTCTCCATCTATTCAGCTTTATCATCAAGTGCAGATATGTTCATCACCACCAAATCTTCTTGATGGATGACTATGTATCACGTGGTCTTGTCTTCAGTAATGATTTTGTCTCACAGTCTGTTTTGTCTGACAGCAGCATAGCTGCCCCACTCTCCTCTGCTAACTGTTTACATGGTTTATCATTTTCCATCTTCTTACTTTCCACCTTTTTAAAAAATAGTTTCTTTCTTTTTCCTTTTCTTTATACCTTTATTTAATTTATTTATTATTTTTATGTGGTGCTGAGGATCGCACCCAGCGCCTCGCACGTGCTGGGTGAGTGCTCTACCGCTGAGCCCTAGCCCAGCCCCTACTGTCCGCCTTTTATGTCTTCATATTTATAGGGTGTCTCTGTGAGCAGTGCAGTGGGAGAACATTTTCATCCCTTTCTTCACTCCCTGTCTTCTGATCCATCTACTTTCATGTAATTTTTGCATTTACAGAACAGCATTTACATCTCTTCTTTATTTTCTCTATATTTTACATATTTTATGTTTTCCTACTTTTAATGCCTTCTCATGTGTTAAATGCATACTTTCTTGT